AGACCCCAAAACAACCATCCACTCGCCCACTTTCAGGGGGCATTTAGGGTTTGGGGTTCAGGGGTTTAGGGGTTTTAGGGTTTAGGGGTTTGGGGTTTAAGGGTTTAGGGTTTTAGGGTTTAGGGTTTTAGAGTTTAGGGACCAGCAACTAGGGCATCCTTCGTCGTAGTGAAGTGGGTTCTCAGTGGCAAAGGATGGCTTCATGTAATCACGGGGTAACTGTACTCCAGGACTTTATGAACAGGCTCCGAAGCTTCCACATGCGTATTTCTCTAATTATAAGGTTCGTTGTCCCGAGCCTTCTTGTAGGAGTTATTGGAAATCATTCCCCTAAACCGTAAAAGCTAATCCTGCACCCCAGATGTTAAACCCGGCTAGTCCAGGACAAGCGGGCCATCAAAAGCTTGCTGTCTCGGGGCGACGACCGACGCAGGCCTACTATGCCTGAAACCGGAAACCCTAAGCCCTAAATCCCTAAACCCTTAACCCTAAAACCTTAACCCTAAAACCTAAACCCTAACCCCTAAATCCCGGACCCTAAAACCCACAACCCCAAGCCGCGAACCGTAAACCGGATTGAAGCTCTGTTTGGGCTATCCAGTGATGCTACGGAACTAGAACACCCAGAGGGTCCAAAGATATTACCATTGTGAGACCATTCTCATCATCGAGCATTCAAACCGTGTCCCCAACACCTCTGAAGTCTCAAAATCCAAGCAGAATTTAGTGTTTGGGCTTGTCTCGGGGCGTACTGCTTTAGGTTTAGGGTCAAGGTTGAGGTTAAAGGGTTAGATTAAGCGTGCCAAGGACATCCAAGAACCCAGTAGTAGATACGTAGGTTCAGGATAGTGGTAATGTAGGTCAGTATTTGGGGGAGTATATAACTATCAGATACATGCACCCGTGTGGCTAGGGTTTAGGGTGAGGTCAGAAATATCTAGGTCTTGTTATCAAAGCCACCCGAAGCCACGTAGCTTTCTAATCTTAGACCCTTGAAACCAAGTCCCCCCGAAACCCGCAAAAAAGTCTCTGAAACGCCCAAACCCTAAAGCTTAAAAGCCCTGAAACTCGCCTTTCTCAAAGTGCTTAAGCCGAATTAACCACCCCTAAATCCCTGAAGGAGCCCTTAAATGAACCCCTTGAAGCCCGAATTCTAAATCCCAGAAAACCTCGATACCCTAAACTCTATACCCCTACGGAACCTTAATGGAACTTTTATAGAACCTTAGTGGAACATTATAGAACCTGAATGGAACCTTTATAGAACCTTAACGGAACCTTTATAAAACTTTATAAGGGAACCTTTATAGAACCTTAATGGAACCTTTAAAGGAACCTTTATCGAACCTTACTGGAACCTTTATAGAACCTTAATGGAACCTTTGTAGAACCCTTATAGAAACCACCAACCCCCAAATCCCACGCCCTGAACCCCAAACGCTCCAACTCCCGACACACCCGAAGCCCAAAACTACGAAGCGGATTTGTTCCGAGACCAACAAATCCTAAGAACCGAAACCCTGGGTTTAGGGTGTGTCAACCAAGCATCCGCGGTAGGTGTATAATTTTTCGTGGAACGGAGCCATTGCGAAGCGCGTCCGATATTTTCAGAGCAAGAGAATTCCGTCACGAATGTGGAGCGCAACAACTTCCCATCCCGAGAAGCCACCCAAAGCTTTTGGAAAAGCTTCAGTTCCTAAGCGGCACACACGAGCACTCGAGCGAAAATTGTTTGATTGGGGCTCCAAGGCTTGACAGGGCGCTGTTTTGCTGAAAATGTGTTCCCGACCAATTGGGCACACAGGGACCCCGGATGTCTAGAGCGAGCACGCACAAAGAACGCCGCTGTTTTGCTGCAGAATGTGTCCCCGACCCCTTCGGGCACACACGAACACTCGAAGGTCCATTTTCCGATCCGGGCTCAACCGTGTGGGGTTTAGGGCTGGCAACAACCATGCATTAGTACTGACAGTATTGTCGATAGGATATTAAAGAATGTTTGGATACAGACATACACTTGCACCATAGCTGCCATTTACCCTCTAGGTAAGACTAGAAGGTCATTTGCTTTTCTTCCCGGCAAGGTGTGTTACGGTCCTGAGCGCGTGAAGGCTTAAGCTGAGCATTCAGGCTTGAGCTTTTGAGCTTAGGATAAATCATGATCAGGTTTTGCCGAGCCCACTTTTTAGAGAATTTCTGCCGCCCTATCAAGCCCTGATATACCCCATGGCCCCAAGCCCTAGACCCTAAACCCCAAACCCCCATAACACCCTCATACAGGCTCCTCTTCTTTTTTGTTTGCTGCGAGGCCGGTCATAGGCCAAGTCTGCCTCCTGCGCTGCTCTCTGCGCCGACCTGGCCAACGCAGCGTGCCGCCAGGCCGCAGTTCGATCTGATACCAGGGGTTTAGGGTTAGGGTTTGGGGCTTAGGGGCGGGGTTCAGGATTTAGGATTTAGGGTTTAGTTTAGGGTTTAGGGGTTCAGGGTTTAGGGTTAGGGTTTGGGGTTTAGGGTTTAGGGGCCTAAACAATCCGAAGGAGGCTTTTGTAGGGGCTAAATGGTTAAAGAAGGGTGGAATCGGTGCTCGGGGTAGACCATCGTCTATATCTATACGCCTGTACGGTTATAGAAGGATAGTAGTATTCGTTATTCTGGTTGCTCATGTTTGTAGGAAACTCTTTCTTAGGTTTGTTTTTGCTTTGCCAAATTTGCCAAGGCTCGATAAAGGGATGAAAAAGGTGTTTCAGCACGGGTCGGTGTTTGGGTCATTATCTCACTCTTCTGTCTGCCTGCGATGTCAAGTGATCTTTTGATGAGGGTCATTGTCATGATTACTGTCATTCCCATTCGCTTTGCTAGTCGCCTTGGGGTCTTGCGTTTCATGGTCCTGGTTCGTCGGTCAAGTTTTTGGGGTTGGGGGTTTGGGGTTTAGGGCGTAAGGCTCTGGGGATTCAGGGTTAATGGTTTAGGCTTAGGGTTTGAGGTCAGGGCTTTGGATTTAGGGTTTCAGGGTTTAGGGCTTTAAAGTTTGTGTTGGCATGGATTTGAGGATTCGAGAGTCCCGGATTGAGGTAGGGTTTTGGGCTTGGGCGGCTTGTAGACATCGCACCAGGGCATAGGGGGTAAAGCTATGGATTGATGGCATTGAGCTTGATGTGAGAGGTCAAAGTTATGCATCAGGAGTACACCCCTGGTGACTAGAATTTATTCTGATTCCTCCCTATTAGTGGGCGCGACACATGAGTTCGGGGTCTACATTGGATTATAAGGTTGCCATGTATCAGCCCCTAGATTTGATGCTAAACCGTTACACCCTATCATAGACCTGTAAAATGCTGGTGTGTTCAGAATTTGGAATACCTCAGCACGTAGCCACCGTGAAACTTTTCGTCATGCAGCTGCAGAGTGGGTTGCACTTCTTAGAGACTCCAAACCCCTTAATTTAAGGAATATACCCTCAAATTATGCTAGGATCCCTAAGATGATTTAAGGCATATTCCCGAATTAAGAGGTTCTAAACCCTAGACCCTAAACCCCAAACCCTAAATTAAACCCTAAACCCTAGGTCTATTCCCTAATTAAAGGGCTTTTGGAGTCTCTTCCAAGCTGCCCAGAGGCTTTGGGAGCGGCAGGATCTCGAGCATGTTATCGAGGACCGCCTTAAGAGAGAACGTGGGGTTTAGGCTTTAGGAGTTTAGGGTTTGGGGTTTAGGGTTGAGGCTTTAGGGTTTAGGGTTTAGTGCAAAACCCAAACAGACGCAACGACAAGTCACCACCAAACGCAACCGAGAAACCCTCCTGAGCTCCCGCACGGCAGAGAGCTTTTCTCATCCGCAAAAGACCGACCCTTGTGCCTCGGGCCGCCAAGTCGGATCGCCACGGCAGTCCTGGGATTGACACTGCTTCAAAATCAGCCAAGTTTAGCATTGGCTACGAGCGGGATTCTCACGGGTGACTCCGTCTTGCTCCAGAAATCGCTAGGGTTCAGAGGTTTCGTGAGGATATCGGCTAGCTGGTAAGAAGTCGGGAGCCAGCTTAACGGAATCACCCCATCACGTCGCTCGTCCTTCAAAGCTTGTCTCAAGGCCGCAAGATCTATTGCTAGCCTTCGATCCGTCGGCACACGAGGTATTCCCTCGCGGTGCAAGTGATCGAAAAGGGACTTGCAGTCGGTGATGAAGCGGAGGCTCGTTCCTCCAAGTCTTTCGACGGATCTCAAGTATCCGTCAAGCATACACCGAGCGAACGCCTCACATACTGCCCAACTTCGACACCGTCCGTGCAGGCGATGGTCTCTGCGGCAAAGGTTGATCTGCAAATCCTCTTCGCCGTGGTGGACTTCCAGTCGATGATGCTGACCGGTCGTCCATCATTGATGACGCCCTTCTCGGTGAACAGCACGAGGAGCCCGTATTGGCTGGCCACCTTGGTGTTCGCCCTCTTCGCCTTGCGCACCTGGAAGCTTTCTGGCATCTGTGTGATGTAGCCCTTTTCGTGGTCTTCGGGACTCAGGCGGAAGTCCTCTTCCCCGGCGAGGTCGTGCGGAAGCGCGTTCGCCCAGGCCGCGTCGTGGTACACGAGGATCTCGAGGTCGTTGAGCTGGATAGGCTTGAGGTGTATCCCCTTGTGCTGGTAGTCCAGGGCCTTCTTCGCGATGCTGTTGGTGAACCTTATATCGCCAATCGTCGGTGTCTTCTGGGCCTGCTGGGCGAGGGACACGGAGCTCTGCAGGTCCGGCCTTGTTTGTCCAGCAAGCCAACTCAAACCTCCGATCAGCGACTGATTGTCGATCCGCTGCTCAAAGGACGCCGGCTTGTCCTCGGCATCGTCCTTGTCAACGTCGATGGTACACAACCGTGTAGCCGCGTAGTTTGATTGTGTAATCATCACCCCTTCCTCTCCAAGAGTGATGTGGGAACCGATGTAGTCGAAGTCGTCCACCTCCCATTCGTCGATTGGCAGCTCCTTGTCCAGAGCTGCTCTCAAACATCGTGAAAGTCCTTTCGGGCCAATCGTCAGCAGGTCGTCGACATGCACCGCCAGGTAGGCTCGCGGCTCCTTGTCCTCGGGACCTTGGACAAAGAAGACGCAGGGATCAACAGGCGACTGTCCCAACTTGTAGGTATTGCCCTCGTAGGTGAACTCCACTCGTCCGATGATCTCCTGAAACTCGACCCACCAAGAGTGAGGCGAATCTGGGAGCCCGAATATCCCTTTCTCGACCCAGAAGATGGCTCCTTCTTCCATTCCAACGACTCCAGTGCGGGGTTGCTTCATGAACAACGTCCTCTGCAGCGGTTTCCCATTGAGGAAGGCCGCGCAAACGTCGCCTGCGGCGGCTTCCCATGGATCAGGCCCAGCTCGTCGACTGGAGGCGATCTGGAGTAGAACCATGACTGACAGTCGATTCACCGTCGGCGCATTTGTGGTGAGGCTGGTGACGTCTGGATCTTGATGTCCGGCTATAACTAGCCGGGCCTTTGCCTTCCATTCGATCTTCTCGTCGCCCTTCCTTTTTGCATAGTTTTTGTCGCGATAAGCCCACCGGCTGTTGAGGATTCTTTCCGGAGCCACGGTCCTGTAAACCTCGTCGGTCTCGGCCTTGGTCAAGATCGTGAGCGCCTTGTGGTCGAGATGCTCGTTGATCTGCTTGACCTCTGCGGCCTTGAAGAGGCTGTGTTTTTCGGGCGGGATCAATCTCCACGGCATTTCTTTTTCCAGTTGCTTCTCTTTCGAGTGCTCCGTGAAGCACTGCTTGAGCATGTAGACTGTAGACTGGATACGGATTGGGTCGTCCGGCTTGCTTGTGCCTGGCCCTTCTTAGGACTCTCGACTGCTTCTCCTGGAGCTCGGGTGGAGTAGCCAGGACCTGGTCGAGCTCCTCGTCTGGAACTTCCGTCGTCTGCTGCTGGTGCTCAACCGACTCCATATGCTCGTCCTCGTCGACGACGATGTCCCATCCACGATAAAGATTTTCATCATCGCCGGGTTCCTCATAGTCTTCCTCCTCATTGCCAGCATAACTGTTGGGATCATGGGGGTCACTGAAGAGCAGCTTCTCAAGATCGGCACGAGCCACTCTAGAGGTGAACGCATCCCCGACCTCCTCGGCAGTGCTGGGGCGCATGTGCTCCTCGGCGCATAGATGGCACCTTCCAGCGTAGCTGACCCACCAGTTGGGTCCTTCGCGTCCCAGCACCAGACCAGGACCACGCCATCTTCCTCTCTTTGTACTGGCCTTGTCGTGCCGGAAGAAGCACACCATCTCCCCGGGGGCGTACTCGGATCTCTTCACGCGAGCTCTCTGGATCAAGCTCCTCCGCAGCTTCGTGTCCACTTGCGACCTGAAGAAGGCGAGACGGGCCGCTGTCCGTATCGCGACTTCGCGTTGCCTCCTCTTGTCCGTTGTCAGGATATCCAGGACAATCTCTTCGTCGTTGCCTCCACACAAGTCCTCCGGAGCCTTCACCTCCCTGCCAAAGACGGCTTGTGCCGGGGAAAACCCATGTCGTCTACATAGATTATTCTTCGCCTCATTGACAGAGGAAACTGCTAGGGTCACGTCCTCATCTGTCACCGAATGTTCATCGACGACCTTCATGAAGATGTCCTGCCACCATTGGCCGTGTCGTTCCACGACTCCCTGTTGGAAGTGAGCCTGGGCAGCGGAAGGCCTCGGCTTGGCACCCGAGAAGTCGGCGTACTTCGCCAGGCCCGCTTGCAGACCACTTTCTAGATCTGCTGCAATCACGGTCGGTGTCCCGAACGTGCGACTCCAAAGGTCAACGAAATTGATCTCGAAGTCCTGGCTACTGTGACCATCGATTTTCTTCACAAGGTGGTACTGAGTGCCGAGGTCAATGACAGAGAGGAACTCGTGTCGGACCTGCTCGGAGTCGAACGCGTGAAAAACGTCTACGGCTACGGCCTGGTTAAAGTCCAGCATAGTGGGCAAACTCGCCGGTCTTGAGGCCGCTGTTCTCTGGCATCTGTGGCAAGTTTCGCAGCGAAGGGATTTCGCTGCAGAGATCACGGCCCCTTCCGCACCTGCAAGTCGAAGGTGGCGGACCAAATCGTGGACCGCGGGATGTCCAAGGTTCTGATGCAGCCGGGTGAGTGCAGCACGTATATGCGGGGCAACCTTGGGGTCGAAGTGGATGGCGCTTGCGCCCTTCTTGTCCTCTTTGGCCTTCGTCGCGTCTCCATCACCATTGACAACATAGACGGTCTCGGGATCGCGCTCTGGTTGTCGTAGATGAAGAACAAGCTTGCCTCCTTCTTCTCTTTCATGGCCTCGTACATCAGCGAGATATTCGCCAACCTCGGAGTCTCGCCACCAAGCGACGTGATCTCTGGCTTCACATACAACATCTCCACCACCGGACAACTGAGCCTCCACGAGCTGCTTAAGTCCTGGGGTCTTCTCCCCACGGAGGGCTGTTGGGTGCAGCCAGAGTACTCGAGGCTTCACATCCTCGATGTGTGAGCACACCGCCTCAGCGCCAAACTCCTGGATGTAGTCGTAGTCGAGGGGCTCGGAGACCAAGGCGCCGATCTCGGCCGCGTGGTACGTCTGTTCGGTCCCACCAATTTCAAGGATGGCCACTCTGTCGTCGGCAGGCCTCGCAAAGGTCTCCGAGATGTAGCTGCTCGCCGCCGACATAGTCATGGTGATCATGGCACTCGCCTTGATGGCACTTCTCCACAGGCCCTTCCTCGCACTGCTCTTGGGCCTCAGCTGGGTCTCCTTGTCGTAGGCGTCCTTCTGGTGATCGTCGGCAACGGCGGACACCGTGGCCTTCAGAGGAAAACCACGCGCTCGTAGTAGATCTCGTTCTTCAGTCCCAATCGCATTGATGCCCCTCACGGTGTAGGCCGTGATGCTCACCCTGATGCCATCCCAGTCCTCCACAAAGTGACGTCTGTGGGGGTCGAAGGCAAAGACGCTGTCCACCGTGTCGACGTACTTCCCATCGATGTTCTTGCCGTTGGGGAGCTTGACGCCGTGGGCTTCGCCAGATATCTCGTCCTTGGGGTCCTCGACCCACAATCGGCCCCCACGATTAGGGCCTAAGGTGATCGTCTGGTTGTAGTCGATGTTGTGGGCGTCACGGTGGATTCCAGGCTGAGTGTTCAGCCCGATGCTCACGGAGGACCATCTCCCCTTCGCTCCCTTGGACCGCAAGAACTTGTTGATGTAGCGAAGCGTATACTTGAGGTTGTAGGTGTTGTTGATAATCCCGTGGACTCCCCCATGAGTAAATGCTCCAAGGGCCACGGCTCTGCCGACACCGTTGAGCATCTTGCGCTTGCAAGCACCTTGCCACAAACAAAGCTTCGCGGCTAGCTCCCTGCAAGCCTCTGACGAAAAATCTCCGACTCGTAGAAGATCTCTGGCGAGGGTCTCGATGTCCTTGGCCACCTCGACGTGTTCCCCGAAGCAGTCCTGAAACGTGTCATCGGCGGTGTCGTCGTGGTGCACGTAGGACATCGGGAAGTTTACATCCTCCACACAGTCCTGATACCGGCCTTCGTGGTGCTCGTGCGACATCGGGAGGTCTACATCCTCCGCACAGTCCTGGTAACGGCCTTCTCCACCACCGCTCACACATCCCGTACTGGTAGTCTCCTCGCGTCCCCCCTCGGCATCCGCGCCGAGCCGTGGGCTCATATCGCCGCTCTCCTGTTGACTTAGAGGTCGTGGAGCCCGTACTTGCTCTTGATCAGCGCCATCTGGGTGGACAGGTTCTTGAGCTCCTCCAGCACCTCCGGGGGCATGTCCTGGTTCATCGGCTTGGTCTCGTAGTCGTCGGTCCTCGCGTGCGTCTTCTTGGGGGTGCCGCCCTTCGCCTTCGGCGGGTGTGGGGCCTGCGATCCTGCTGGCGCTGACACCGTCGTCCACTTCGATGAGTAACCGTCGCTCCAGGAGTCCACCTCCGAGGGGATGTACTTCACGGCCGCATTCGTCTCTGGGTCCTCGACGTCCATCGGGTTGAACTTCTCCCTGGCGTAGTTCGCGAGCTTGCGGAGGTCCATCGATGCATTGGAGTTCGCTTCCACCTCTTGCACCGCCCAGCGTAAGTACCCTTCCGGCACTTCCTTGTACATGTAGTTCTTGCACCTCCCGAAGCAAACGACTTCCTCCGCGGCCGACTTGGTAGAGTCGCGAATCATGCGTGCCAGTAGCCCTTTTGTCGGCTTCGGCGGGATGACCAGGCCCAACTCGGTCATCTTCTTCTTCAGCTCGTCCAGGGTCATGTTGGCCAGCCCCTTCGGGACTGAGGACTTTTCGGTCGTGCGCTTCTCCTGGATCAAGGACCTGATCTCTCCCGTCGTCCAGCTGCTGTGGCACACGATCCCTTCCTCCGAGGCGAGCTTGATCAACTCCGCCTTGTTCAAGTCCCATACGTTCTTGGTCTGCTTGGCCATCGAAGGGGGACCCGCCTTGGGGATGAATCGGGCTCTTCGCGAAAATGCTCTTTCCGATCCAAAGCACAGCAGGGGACTCACTGGATTCGCGCCAAACTTGATGTAGGGGATCGAGTGGTTTATGGGAGTGGCACGATACACTGAAAGTGTTCCTGACAAGACCGAGGTTTTCGAGCAAGACTTCCTTCTGGGCTGTGGACGGTGTCTTCCACTTGCGGGGATCGAAACATGCGCGCCTGGGAATCACATGCACTCTGGT